CAATGATCTTGTGCTATTTCCCATGAGTTTGGTATTGACAAATGTTGGGCCCTAATTGCAGCTCCAGCCAAAGGACCCTCTAGCCCAGCATCCCATGTCCATCAGTGTTCTAAAGGTAATGCTTAGGCACAAGTATGAGAACAGGTGAAATATATCATGGTGATTCCCAGCGACAGGATATTTCTCTAAGCCATACATGTGTCTTTGTGGCTCTTGTAGTAGTCCGGTTCATGAACCAGTAAACAAAAACCTCAGCAATGCTATTCCAAGGCTAGCCAGGAAAAAAGTCCCAACATTGGCATGAAACTTCTATTTTACCTAAATTGTGGGGCAAGCTTCTGCAGCAGCCTGCCTCCAAGAGTGCAACTGTGTTTGAGACAAAAGAAGGTATTAGTCTTCATGACTCTGCAAGACATTGCACCATGGGGTAAATGTCTTTTTGGCCTTGGATGAAATGCTCTTTGTTTGGCATCTTAATTCTAGCAGATGAAAGGCAGCGCTACCCTGCCTAATTTGCACGCATTACAATCTTTCTTTATCTTTAATACCATTATCTTTAATCCTGTCACAATTATATTTTCCATAATTCTGTCATCTGACTACTGATACCTAGAAAAGATAAGCAGAGCGTTGTGCCAGTCCTTGCTGTTATCTTGCAGACAGAGGGATCTGAGAGAGGCACGTGCCTGCTGCACACAGCCCAGCGATGAGTGAGACCCCAGCCGCCAACCTCAACACTGGAGATGCTCCAACCGGCCCAACAACACCACGCAAGGGTCCTCCCAAGTTCAAGCAGAGACAGACAAGGCAGTTCAAGAGCAAGCCCCCCAAAAAAGGAGTAAGAGGGTAAGGGAATTTTGGGAAGAAAAGAAACAGTGCTAGTTGAGTAGCTCCCCACTGCTACATTGTGCTTCTGTGTGTCTTCCCTTGGGCAAGGAGCCAGAAGGCTTCCCCCTGCCCCCTCAGCTCTCCAGCCTGGAGCTGCTTCTCTCCTATGCCCTACCCACAATTCTTCTTCCTTGGCTGGGAGTTTAGGGCATCTCCCCTTTCCTTTCTGCTGCCCCAAACTCACTCTGTACCTGCTCTTTTCTCTCCTAGGTTTGGAGATGACATCCCAGGCATGGAGGGGTTGGGCACAGGTAAGCTCTGCAGGATGTTGTTGTCACGTCTTGATTTAGTACTAGCACAGACAGACTTGATCATGGGAGAGGATTCTGGGGTGCCTCTGTTTCCCTGGCCTGTCTGCATCTCTCAGGGTCACCAGAGAACACTAGTTCTGCCTCCCCAAGCTGCCACATTCATGCTATGCTTACATACACTACATGAAGGAAAGGCCATTTATGTATGCTTCAGCTACAGTCTACATTGGGCTGCAGAAGTGCTTGTTTGTTTTCTGCTAATACTCTGGCTAAGAATTTCTGCAGCATGAGATTCTCAAATAATGTTAAATGCTAAGCTATTAATACCAAAAAAATCACAGAAACTAAATCCCAGATGGCTAAGTATTTGTGTTGTCATCAGAATCCTAATTTTAAGAATTTTATGTACCCATCTGGGATTGAGAAACAAGCATTGGATAAGCTGTAGCCAGTCAGAACTTTGAAAAATTGATAGAGTTACAGATCCTGAATATTGTAGGTCAAATTATTCAGCATCTGATCTAAAACTATTTGGCTACAGGTAATTTATAAGAACAGGAGGAACCACATAACTGGAATTAACTTTTGCATCAGTTTACATAGTCTCTGAAGAGACTAAGAACTGCTGGCTTGCTTTTGCTCACAGAGAGAAAGTACACTGATCTGGTTTGGTCTGACAGGTAGTACCAGATTGGAAATGCTCATCTGCCCATTTAACCTTCAAAATGAATTTCATTCTTCTTAATATTTACTGAGTAAATCAGCCTTTCCATTAACAAAAACTGAATCCAAGGAGTGCATTGGACTACGAGAGCACATTTGTCATTTTCCCTCTTTTGCAGATATCACCGTGATTTGCCCATGGGAAGCTTTCAGCCATCTGGAACTGCACGAGCTGGCCCAGTTTGGGATCATCTAAGGTGTCAGCATCTCTACTGGTGTCACCTGGTGACTCCACAGATCCCAGCATGATCTTTGCCACCTTTGACACTTACTTTTGGCCCTTGTGTCCACTTGCTTATGGGCAGGGTGGTTTTGTAAGAGCTAGCTATGAGAAACTTAACTTTGCAGATTAATTTGGTGAAGAAGTTATTTGGGACCCTGAGCAGACCTCATGTTCCATGTGATGAAACTACTGAAAAATGTCTTAATGTCTCCCTGTACCATATTCTTTCTTCTCTCACTGTCATAGATCCTCAATATTTATGGCGATACAGAGAGGTTGTATCTGAACTTTTTCCCTGATTAGCTGAGATATTGTGTGCATGTATGTCCAGATGTAATTAAATCAGCCTATTCTGTTTTCTTCCTTCCCTCCCTTTCTTCAGCTTTCTATATAGAATTTCCATGGGCAGGTCCCTGTGTTATTTGGGCCACCAATTATTTGCTCAGAGTACATCTGTAGAGAACAGCATTAGAGTCACCAGTCCCAGACATTAGGCTGCTTTCCATAGGAGATCCTTCCCCAGCAGCTCACCATAAGGAACATGATGCTAAGATTTACCTCATCATCAAATAGGGAAAAAAGGGCTTGCAAATGCTGTCTCTGCTGTACTGCCCACAGGCTATGAACCATGAGAGTCTGGCTGTTCTCATAATGTTAAATGAAAATGCGTGTGTCTGAGATCAATAGCTAAGTGAATTAATCCTATTATTCATTCCTTTGTGGTTGCAGTTCCAAAGAAGCAGCCCCCCAAATGATGCTGCATTTCCTCTCCTTTGATGGGAAGCCCTGTGTGACACTTGTCCCCATGCCAATACATATTTACATGAGACATTTGCTCCCCAGGACATGCTTGCTGCTTATTAAGACAGAGAATCTTTATGCTCTGTCACCAGACTGTGCCAGCGGTCCTGCCACATGCAGCAGAAAATGATATTGCAGTAATTGCTCCCTCTTCCCTGTATTTAGCATAGGACAAGTCTCCCTTAACCCTGCCCCTCATAAGTAGGAAGGCTTTTGTCTGTTCACTCCCCGGCAATTTCAAGCTCTGGAGCTTGTTTGGACAAGCAGGCAAACAGTGTCCCCAGAGAGAAGTAACAGCAGAGCGAGCAGGGAGGCAGGGGAAGGGTAGGATGTGTACATGCAGGCAAGCACAGAGCGAATCCACTTAACCCCATCGATCTGTGTCTGCTGGTCTCTGGCAGCTGAGTGCTGCCGAGCGGTGAGGCACCCACAACCACTTAAATGTTCGGGGAAGGCACCCAGATTCCCTGTGGCCCTGGCATTAAGGAAAGGCTTCTGGCTTGTTTGCAGGCAAGGAGCAAGTTTATTGTAGCTACATAATATTCATAAGAGGAGGTGTATTATGTGAATACATAATATTCAGAAAAGGAGTCATTGCCTTTAGCTTAAGAAGCCTCATTGCATAAGAACTGCCTCCCCCTATCTTATCTTTCCTATGCTGAACATGTTCATGGGAGCAGGGAGTGATTGTGGCAAGGAGAGCAAATCCTGTCTAAACAATTGATCCCCACGCATAAAGCATTGCTATAAATCCATGGCGGTGCCATAGTTATCTGCTGCTGTTATTCCAGAAATAAAAGCTAGCAGTTTTCAGTTAAAATATAGCTTGAGCACCAAAAGCTAAAGGAAATTAATTCCTGTTGGCAGTCCAGGGTACAGCTTTTATTATTCAGCACTCCTGCCATTAGACACAGCAGTAAGCCGAGGAGTGGTTCAGAACAGCAGCACTATCACAGTGCAGGAGTCGTGTACCATTTAGCTAATTGCAGCCCACAGCTATTTCCTTGGGCAGAGGCAGTCTGTCCTTTCCACTTACTTCCAGCTATTCCTGCCTTTCTCACCTTTTAATGCTTTTCTTCTTTCCCTAAGTGTTCTTTATATAAATGACATTTTATTTAGCTTTTATGATAGGGAACTGATTTCTTTTTTTTTCAAGCCCATGTACTAGCCTTCTCCTTCTGCAGTTAAATGTGAATGCTCGTATGGCAATACTTTCATCCTCTCCCTCCCATTATGCCATCCTGTTACATATGATCCTTATTCCACCTTTGCAGTCTGTCTTCTTCTCTCTGGGAAAAGACCCATTAGATCCAGTTTTGAATCCTTCAAGCTGGATGCCTCTATTTTAATGGAGTTTTCCCTTTTTTAATCTTTTTTAAGTATGACGAAAACAAGAGAAGGAAATTTTAATTCATCCTTTTGTTCCCTTTTCTTCCCAGACCTTGAGATAACAGTCCACAGACAGTGAGATACTTTGTCAGAAAATACTGGGGTAAAAGCAAAATTCTCCTTAGTCCAGGGACTGAAGTTTTAGCAAATCAGAAGGTTCTGGTGTAGTTCCACATCTGATTGCCATAGCCCTAGTTCCCATCAGAGAACTTCTCGGTTCTCCTTCCTACAGGAGTCCAACAGGAATGTACTCATAACCCAGCTCTCATACCTGGCTGATGAGCTGATTTAGAAGACAGATGTTTTGAGCCAACAGAGTATGTTAGTTATTTTAAAAATAATTTCTATTAATTAATAGGAATCACATTCATTCCCTTACTTGTAAAGAATTTTGAGGATTAGAAGAAGAGTCTTAAAACACACTCACAGTTGTTTTGTCTGACATTCTGAGTTTTTTCTAATGAGCCATAATTCCTGAAACTTCCATTTTTCAGTGAGAGATGGCTATGGTGCAAGAAAGCAAATGTGTTAAAGCAGTTTGTTGAAGGACTTCAGTCTATATGCATTGTAATATGTTATTCTCTGTTATTTTACTATAAAAACATGTCAAAAGGAATAAAAATTAATAAAAAATATTTTAAAAATCTTAAGAATGTAGTCTGACTTGCTTAAAAAATATAGCCAGGGAAAGGCAGATGACTTAGCTTTTCCTTCTGAAATCCTTTCCTTTCCTGGGGAAAGTCCTGAAAGTCACTTATCACCTCTCATTACAGAAAACCAGCTATTTATCCCTGAACAATAGGCAATAAAGACTGGCTGTGATATCATCTGAGAAGCAGTTTTTTCCTGAGCGATGACTGGTATATTCTCCCAAAAGTGTTGCACATGGTTCCCTTCAGGCTGAAGTCTTTTGGCCAGTTACATCTTCTACGACTCTGTGCAAATGAATGTCAGCATGTTTTCTACCCTATAGCAAAAAATTGCTGAGATGTGAATGCCACTTAGTTCCTCCTCATTGCCATGACTGCAAGACAGAGCTGCAAACACTCATCTCCTTTTGCTTCTTTCTGTTGCTGAACTTTCTAGGTGTCCATAGGGGTTTCAAGATGGTCAAGTGCAATTGCCTTCTTGTGTTATGCTGTCAAATCTCAGCCTTACAAGTGTTTTCTTTCGTGCCGCCTTTGGAGTTTTTTTCTTGCAACTCATTACTGGGTGTCCAATTAAAAGTCTTTTGTCTTTGAACATTCTCTATCCTGTGAGATATGAATATGAGTTGTCCAGGACGCCCTTTGTGAAAGCTTTTTATAAACCCCTTCCCAACCACATTTTGAAAGCCAGAAAAGCATCTTCTCACATAGTTATGTCCACTTAAAGCCATAACCAAATTTTGAGTCCCATCCTTGCTGACCCCAGTTTCTGACTCTAGTGAAAAAGTTAATTAAACCCAAATCTCTGCAAGAAAAGAAGAATGGACCTTGTGAAAAGTGAGAAGGACTTGTCTTGCTTCCCTCTCCCTCCCTCACCCATCCCCTCCTCCAATCTAAATCACCTCAGACATATCAGTTGAAAATAAATAAAAATAAAAAGATAAAACAATCCCTCAGTGTAAGTTGGATTCTTCAGGAGATCTGAAGACCACTAGTGCAAAATTACCATCCTCCAACAGTTTTAAAATCAGCACCTTACTCAGTATCAAGCCACTGTCACATCTTCCTATCATATTGATCACTAAGGTGCAGGCTAAAAAATGTACCCTGGCAATACCACTCTGTGTTTTGTGGGTACTTTTCTATTTTATAAATGGGATTTGAGAGTTAGGCAAATTGAGAGCACCCATCACCTTTAAGTCTTCAATACTTGATTCTTCAGAGTACTTAACATTTTATCTTGAAGTTTAAAATGCAGCTGTCATTAGTTGTGGTTGCAGCTGTAAGTACTCATTAGTGAATCTCATTCTCTCTGAGTCAGATCTCACTCAGACAGAAAGATCCAGGGCCTCAGCCTGGAGATCTGAGGAAGAAGAAGTCTATTTTTGAGAGTATTTATGTAATGCTCTATAGGGTGGGCAGGTTATTCCAGCCAACAGTCTGTTTCAGCATCACCACACCACTGTGATGCAAATCCAGGCAGATTTGGGAAAAAAAAAAAAAAACAAAAAAAACAAGAACATAAGATTATGCAATTAAAATAAAAGATCGTATCACATGCTTATAAATGTGCTCAAGTCTGGAACTTCCTCATACCAGACTGCTTAACTTTGAAGCCTTATTCCCAGTCCCCATAGTGCTGTCAGGGTTTTTGAAGCTGGAATCAGCTTAGTAACCTAATTTTAGGCACTTGCACCTCCAAAGTTTGTCTTGACAGCCCAAGGCAGGGAGGATTTATGGCTCTGAGGTTTTTCCACACCAACTGTGATCCACCTGGAGGGAGTGGGATGGCTAAACACTCTCTGCTGGGGGTACATAACAATTTAATTCTGTCAGCTGAAACTTTCAACTTACCTTTAACATGTGCTCTCACATTTTATGTTGTTCCTCTTCTTGAAGTTTAGCATAACTATGGTGAGAATTTTGGTGTTGCTGCTCCTCCTGGGTGAAAATAATACCTTCTCTATCCAAGCCTTCAGGAATTTTCAAACACATTCTTGCCTCTGGCATTTTTCTGAGGGCCTCTCACATTCCTGAGGCTGTAAATGAAGTGGCTGAGCATAGCAATCACCAGCACATACTCAGCATACAACAGATGTCCAGATGTCAAAGCAGACAAGGGATATGACAGAAATAGATGAACTACAGTGCACTGTGAAGAGTGAGGACTTTAGACAGGAAGGCACTGAGAATGAAGAATGCTTTTGGCACCCTGAGACCTTGGTCAGGACAGTGGTCAGCACAGGAAAAATCCACAGGAAGGAAAGATACCTTCAAGAACATGGAAAACACAGGGAAGGAATGTGGTGAAGCCCCAGAAAGCTGTTTGACAAAGCTGTATACAGGCTTCGCCCTGTGGTCTGTGCCAGACACGGAGGGTATAGCAGCCAGCCAAGGAGCACTTGAAGGAATTCAGAGCCTGTTATGATACTGAAGAAGAGCATCCACACAAGGCACAAATAATTTATAAAGCACTGAGCAAACTGAACTTGGTCCCTTACAAGAGACCTTGCTCTCTGTGTGAGGCAGTGGCTGCACGACCATCCAGGAAGGTTGTGCAGTTGTCTATCCAAGACAGCTTGGAGAAAAACACATCAAAGGGTGGGAGCTCCAGACTACCACCATACTGACCCTGTAATCGTGGGTGACAGAGTAGGTAAGCAGGAATAACATCAGTGGGAAAATCTATGTCTTGCATTATTAGAACTCGATAAGCCCGTGTTTTACTTCTCCTCACCTCTGGAGAAGGACAGGACACCAAAAGGAGCAACAGATAGAAATCCCAGGACCATTAAAACCCTCATCATTGAAGGCTGCTGGAACACATCTCTTGGAAGTATGACCTAGGCAGGTTTACAGAGGCTGTAGAGGGGCAAACAGGCTGTAGGCAGATGGAAGGCAAGGCCAGTTCCTCAGCCATACAGAGGTTTGTGCCCCACCAGTGTCCTGAGGCACAAACTCCCATTGCTTGATCAAAACAACACATTGGTTTCTCTAGGCACAGGAAGAAGGCAAACACATTTTCTCATCTCACAAAAGCTATTTGTATTCAAGCCAGCTCAAATCTGCATCATCCAGACAGCTGCTGGCATGGGCATAGCAATCTTGCATCTGTCTGCACCAGGGGACTGGCTGCAGGTCTGAAAGTAAGGGAAGAAAAATAACAGAAGGCCAAACATGTGGAAAACAACAAGTTGTATGAGATCTGGCTTTAGCAACTGCAGTTTTACCAGAAACATTCACTGGGATCAAGGTCTTTCCATGCTAGGCACTTCGTAAGTACATCACTGTGAACTAATGAATTAGTTATAAGCCTGGTCTCCAAGCAAGTGTATTACTCTAGCCTGAGGATACTGAACTTCACTAATAGGGGCCACTGCAAAGACGCAGCACAGTCAGTCTTGAAAATGTCAGTACATGGCCAGGTCACCCATAGACAGCTGGGATGAGGAGCACGCAGATGGAGGCATCGGGGAAAGTCCTTTCAAACACAAACATTAAGCTAGATGATCTGGTAAGCATCAGTCTAAGACAAGAGCAAAGGAAAAGCAAGACAATAATTACATTGGAATGAAATATGGTCAGCAAAGGAGGCAATTTTGAACTAAAGCTGCCTGTACTGAAAGACTACCATGAGGAGCTATAGCATGATAAATCTGGGGGGATTTTAACACCATTGCATCCCTATCCACAAGGCTCCAATCAGTTCTAGGCATTTTAAGGACAGAAGCTGATAAACTGTTCTGTATTTTGAACTCATGTAGAAGGGGAATGAAGAGTAGACAAAAATGAAAAAAGGAGGAGTAAGGACTTCACAGGCATCAAGGAAGTTGCTCCAGCGTGCACAGCCCCCTGAAATAGTCAAGTGTAGTTATGATTCCCACCTGGAGGTAGCTGTAGAATATAGATAACAAAGGAGGACAAATATTAGCGAGGATGAAACAAGGCAAAACTGTCTGAAAATAACATCAAAATATTAAGTAGCTGTTATCAAGAAGTCCTGACAAATACCTTCCTTGGGAAAACATGGGCCCCATGGGAACTGGGAAGGCTCTGATAGTACATTTGTGACTGTGTTGTAGAAAGCATCCAAGAATCCCCTGCAGAGAACATCTGGTACAGAACAGGCGTAGCTGCTGCAGGAGTCAGGGCAGTCACGCTGGGCCATCTCCATTGCTGTTGCCTCTCAAGCTATACACTAGTGATGTATAGAAAGTAAGTTTTCTTTTCATATTAAATTCATGCTCATGCTCAGCTCATGCTCAGCATTACAATATCAAAGCTACATATATAGGAAACACTGTTTAACAGCCATCTGTAAGCTTCTGATAACAAGACAAAGTAAGATGCTGGGTTCTCAGCTGCTGAAAAATACATATTAAAAAAACAGCAAAATCTCAAGCTCAAAACAAAGAACATTGAAGCACATTAGACATTTTCATTTCACTCTTCAGTGAGAACTGCTTCTTTGGAAAATACAGTAAGATTTTTGTTCTACATCCCACCATTAGTGCCAGGTTTCTCACTTTAGAAGGCACAACATGCACTGGGTTGTGTGTAATACTATGATATGCAATATATCTTTCTTTGCTTCAGTCTGGAACCATTTCCCTGAAATGTGGAATAAATTTGGAAGCTTTATCCCAGCCATGTAAACTTTTTGCATTCATTCGTAGTAATGCCTAATCCCATTTTAATCTTAATAAGCTCTTTAGTGCAATAATATCCTATGGCATTAAGGAATACAACTTAATTCCTTGAATTAAAGCCAAGATTCTCTTTGGAGTTTTTGCACTGACTTCCATAAGCTTTAGATCGGGTCAACCTCCAAAAAAAACCCAACCCTCTGCAAACCAGTGACCTACCTGATTGAAAAGGCTTTATGATTTTATATCCTCTTACAATAGCTTTTCTATTTATATAAAATCTGCGCTCATAAGAACTCCAGAACTTCAAGCAGCATTTATCCAGAATAATTAGGTTCCCTGATGATGAGATGCTGTTGATAAACTCATCAGGAAGAAATATTTCTTTACCCTCACTACCCTGGCCCAGGGCTGATACAGTGATAGAACATGAGAAGCTTGAAGCATTTGGGTGCCACCTCTCAGAAGAACATTATTTCTTGATTTCTCCAAAGAAGCCAATAATGAAGTGGATTCCCAGTTCCTTCAGACTAAAATGATAGAGACAAATTTAATATAGCTAAATTGCAAACAAGAGGAAGTTGTTTCTAGTTATAATTATTTAATTATAGAGGACATTTTAAATCACCTCTTTCAAAGGTCTGAGAAAAGTCATACTGTGGGAACCACATGGAATTTCTCTCTAAACCTCAAATAAATGTCCCAAGTATTCCCAATAGTACAAATCCTCTGGCTTGTTTTCAAACTGTAATTGTGGCTGGGAGGTACATAACAGTGCAAAATCCATTCTCTGCCCTTCCCATGTCTTCCCTTTGACTTTACTTAAAAATGAGAAATCTGTATCATAGTCACTTCAGTACCCTGAGCTTTGTGACAAGGCACTGAATGTACACAAAGAGGATAAATCAGTCCAAAGCTCAGACACAAATCCAAATCAAGGGGGTTGCTGCTCACTGACTGGGTTGGAAGGTGACCTCTTAGGTTGCTCCAATTGTCAAATAAAATACAGTTCATGGTGACTTAGGCTTGCACATACTGCCTCTGCTTGCAGCAAGCTCAGAGCACAAGAGCAACTCATCGCTGCAGCTCAGCTGCTGAACAGTACTCATTAACCCAAAACAGTTTTGTTATTTCTCATCAGAGGTCCTTAACCCCTCTTTAGTTTACTAAAGAGATGGCCAAAAGACCATTTGATCAGATCCAGAAATATCTTCATGGGAACGTATTTCTGATAAGAAAGACTCATCTTTCTTATATGTAGCAGAAACGTAAAATCATATCTGGTGGCTGGTTTGGCAAATTCAGATAAGAACCACATTGCTAATTTCTCACAGAGGAAATAATGAAGCTCAGAAACAATTTTCCACATGATGTTCAAATCACAAGTGTGTGACAGGAAGGTGGATAGATATGCTGAGGGTAATATCTGTGGCCCAAGCATTTCAGAGCTCTTGTGAAGAACCACTGGAGTAGCTTTCAAGTCAGAAGTGTACAGGATGTCATTAGGATGATGCCAGCTATATTTGACAGTCTAGTACCCATGCTTGCCCACTGGTGCACGGGTGGGATTCCATGAGCAAGAACTGGGTTTGAATGCAGTAACCTGTGTACTCATACAAAAGCACTTGGAAGAATGGAGATAGGCATGTATGTTAAACTGATGCCACTGAGCCTGACACAGGCACTGCAAATTTTCTAGCCTGTTGCTATAGAACAGGCAAAATAGGTCTTCATTGCTGTCTGCTGTGCCTAAATTAGAAATGTGCAGAAAAGCACAAGAGTTAAAAGTCTCTGCCAAATCAGAAAAAAAGTCCTTCAGACCCAGTACTTTGTTTCCAGCTGTAGCCAGTAATTGTTGCAAAGGACAAGATGCAAATTACATATATTACAGCATGTTATTAACATATCTGGTAGCTTCCAGTGATTTGCACTCAAGGACAGCCTGAGCCAGATATGATGTCTTTGTGTACAATAGCACTTGGTAAATTTTTCCTTCATGATGCAGTAGAAACACTTTCTGAACTTAGAGAAACCTTTACAATCTATGCTACCCTTAGCTAAGGAGTTCACACGATAAACCCTCATACCTAAAAAAATAAATTAATAGATCTGTGGCCTTTGTCTCTCAGAATGCATAAAAACCCCCAACTCATTTTGCTTGATGCCACCTTCAAGTTTCCTCAGTGCTTCCCTTGGAAGAGGCAAGAGTACTACATTGACAAAAGTAACCTATTCCTATTAAAAGTAACCTATTCCTATTTTGGTGCTCCCAGGAAGAGGATGTTGTGATCATTCTTTTTTTTGGCCAGTGATCATCAATTGCAATTGCTGGGTTCCAATTTAGAATATTGTTACTTGAAAACTATTAAAACTCCATGTTATTTCTTACCTAGAGAGGTTAGGACACCTGCATTTAAATATGGGGGAGGGTGGTTTTTAAGTCAGTGTTACTTAGGAGCGGTATTTAAAGAATTCAGATAGGACATGGTGAAGATAAGTAGAAGTTACTGGAAGCTGGTTAAGTAAATTTCCTGTGGGCAGATAAAATAATCTTTACAATTACTGTGTTCTAGCAGTAGTTTCAAGATTTAAAAAAATACACTTCACTGCATTCTCTACACACAGGATCAGAACCACAGCTGCTGAAAATTGACCTTTAGTCAATTCCCATAAGTCACCATACATTTACTGTAGCTGGCCACAAGACCGGCTTTTCTGGGTCCTTGGAGAAGCTCAGGTGGTCTTGTGTGCACTGTTTCAAGGAACTGTGTTTTCTTCCAGCAAGTAGTCTCTTTCCACATTTTGTTTTTGAGGCATCACCATTCCAAGTGTCAACCTCTATCTTCTCCAGAGTGCTGGCAGCTGATCCCAGCAGTAAAACCCATTTAGGCTCATTGAAGCAATGGGGCTGAGGACTTTACTGTGGAAAGAGATAAAGTTCTTAGTCTTCATTAAATAATTAGCAAGAAGGAACATTTTAGAGAAGATGAGGTAGCTGTTGGTTTAGTATTTTAGCCGTCTATGGCAAACCAGAGAAGACTGCCTCATGCTCACTAATACCTTAACTGAGCATATTACATTTCCTGGGTTACTCAAAGCAAAGATAATTATTGCCTCAGGAAAGCTGGCAGGACACACCTAGGGACAGAAACTGGGTGATCAACCCAGCAGGTGCTGTGCCCAGCAGGTAGGGTCCATGCTTGATATAGCAGAAGCAGAGGGAGTACTTCAGATTCCCAAGGGATTCAAAACAGAAAGATGCTACTAATTTATTCATAACTAATTTCACATTTCATTAACAAGAGGGTATCCAGGGCACCCCTATTGCCTCAGAGCAAAGTCCAGCTGCAGAAGCAAGGCCATGTCTTAGATTTGCAGTCAGCAGTAGCATGCACAGACTGTGGCAAGAGCTCCTGTTGCAGTGCTAGAGTTGGCAAGGTTGCAGGTGTGGGAGGGGGCAGCCTCCCCAGCCCTCCTTCCCCACGCCCTGTACTCAGCTGCCTCCTTTAAGCTTCCTTTGGAGGATGGTGACAGTGGCTGCCAAACATGTCCTGCTCTCCTGGGGCTCCCAGGGTGATTGTTGCTGGCTCTGCCTGCTGCTCCTCCAAGGGTCACTGTGCCTGGCTTCCCCTCTGAACACAGGGCTGGGTGCTCAGCTCCTGGCCATGCCAGACTTCAGGAGATGTCAGCACAGATCTCCTTACTGAGGATGCAGCCTTGTATGGTTAGACAGTAATGTCTCTGGTTTATTGTGAGAACTGGAGCTATTAAATACAGAAAATAAGGGTGACTTTGGTATGTTTTCCCACTTAAATTTTTATTGGACTTTTTAGAGCCAGAAATATCAGAAAGCTCCTTTATCGACAATGGCATTCTTTAAGAGTCTCTGCAAAAACTGAGCCCTAAAACCTCTGCCCTAACTAGCTCATGCTTCTCAGACCTTGAGGCAAAATCATTCTGAGTGAGGCTGTGCCAAGACCCTTCAGAACTTCCGATTTCTGACTCTGAAACACATGGAAGTTTCCCACCCATAGAGACATTTACAAGTTTTTCTGAAGCTGATGGAGAAGGAATCTTAGGATCAGTAGCACCTGCAGAGCATAAGGAGTCCAGCTACCTCCCACAACCCACCCTATCATGCAGGAGGGGAGCAATACCTCAGTACCTGGAGCCAGGAGCAGCACAGAGAGGTCCAGGATGCTCATCCACAATGATGTCTTTGTGTCTCAGAATAAATTTTCCCTACATGGAAGTATTTCCTAGAGTAGGAAAATGAGTAGTAAGCCCCTCCCCAGCTGCTGGGATGGGCTTGCTTGGAAAAATGCAGTGTTATAACATGAGTTTCATCTTTTGGCAGCTGGTTGCATAAATAACTTTCTCTTACTGGAAGCAAAGACAATGGGGTTTTTTTTGAAAATATTTTGTACCTTTAACACTATCAAGTATTATTTGAGTTCTCCACAGCTGCAGAAGTAAACAGCTGCTGGGTCCTGGTTTTGACTAGAGAAACTCATAGTCATGACATTGAATTATACAAGCACAAAGATATACAAATAGCTTGTTTTTATTTATTTCATTTTCTGCAATCTATAAAAATAAACATCTTCAAGACTTTGCCAAAAGTTAAAACTATAACTGAAGAATAAAGTAACAGCCACACACTGTTCCTAATCCAAATTTAACATTAAAAAAACCCAACCTAGACACAGCAGAGGAACTCTAACCAGTGTTTTCTACTCTACAAATGCACTTACCTCTCACCTCATAAGGAAAATTTTTGAATGCAAAAAGAAATTAAGAACATAATTAATTATCATACTCCAAATGTCACTTAGCCTTTTTGTTGTCTATCAGGCTCTTTTTGCCATACATACTCCTCTGTCTTGACCTAAAAACCACACCTTCTGTTTCAAATAATGTACTAAAGCATTTGTGAGGTATGACCATGATTTTTCTGCTGAAGGGCATGCTGTGTCCCAGGAACCTGCAAGGCACATGCAAAGAGAATTATTAAATGATTTTCAGTCTGTGGTCTACAATCTGCAGGGACTTCATTAACTATTTCTAAAGAATCCAGCACAAACAATCAAAGCAAGCAAGATGTTTGTCACTATGCTTTGATTTCATGGTCAGTCCATTAGAAAAAAAAATATTAAACGTTTAGGGAAAAGACAGAAGAAATCATACAAGATTGGAGGAAGTCTAGAAAAGTCCAGGAAGAGCAGAAACTTGTTTCATACATACTAGTTTCTGGACTGTAAGTGTTTAAACTAGCTGAAATGTGAACCTATGGTGATTCTATATAGCTTCGCAGCAGCATTTTGCAATCCATGCAGAATTCTTGCTGCTGCACCAATTTTCTCAGCAGCATCCATGCCAGATAGCCTAAAGCTAGTGCAGTGGTTTCATTACCTTTTATGTGGTACTTTATTTGAGCTGCTGTCATTTCAGTGAGCCAAGAGGCTTTGCTCTTACCTTTAAAGTAGGAACATTATTGAATTTTTTGTATTTTGCATTATTGATCTGTTATGCTGGTTTACACAGCCAGCCCCAGATCTTCTTGACTTATTAAGCATCACCAGTTCTAGTCCATATTGTCCTAATCTGGGTACAGCTATCTCGCAACAGAGAGACTAAAATAACCTCAGCTGTGTTAGTATTTGTCATGTTGTCTGTTATATCACAGCTCTCTCTGGTGCAGAAACAGGCAACAGAGCCTGGTGCAAAGGTTGCAGAGTTAATGCCCAGCAAAATAGTTCTACCTTGAGAAACAGCCTAACACCTCAGCACAGCAGCCGTCAGCTAATTCTCCTGCAGAGAAATGGATCACCAGTGAAACTGCTGTGCTGTTGTCTAGGTTCAGACTGCTACCTCAGCACAGCACTGCTCAGGTATGGCAGCTCTAACTGGAGCTAGCCCAGTACATCTGAGCTATGAAATACAGACAGAACATCCATGTGCTACTCCCAAAATCACTGAAGGCATGTGGAGTATTTCACACAGACCACACCACCTCTAGACAACATGTTTCCACAGAGAAGTAAAAGAGAAAATAACAAAATATTTTTCCATCTCTTGTGCTGTGGAAATGTTAATTCAAGTTCATAGTGTTTAACAGGCCACACAATTAGGACAGCTGATCTCCAAATGCTTCTGCTTATTGATGCAGTGCCGTAGGATCAGAGCTTGCCATCAGTAGGCACATACTGCCTGCTCACCTTCACTTTTGTAAAACAAAACTTTTCACACCCTAAAGCATCTTCTCCATTAGCTTTCTCACTTCCCCCTCATTTCTATGCCATTCTTCCTCCCAGCATTGGTGTCATATTGCTGCTCACAGTCAGCCTGCATTCTACACTTTTGGGGTGTAGTCTCTGAGCTAAAGAAGACTTCTGGCTGCACTGTATCTTACAGAGGTCTTTCTAAGACACAAGACCCTTCATAGTCTGATTATCCTAGGGCATCCACATCCTGGATGGCTGAGTATTAAATCAGAGGCAATCTTTACTGCAAGTCACAAACTCAGACTCTGTACCAGCACTGAAATTCATCAGCCTCCTACCACTGGTCTTCCACTAGGCCCTAATCACTCCAGATGGGCACAAGGATAGCACTGGGAACAGCAGCAGGGATCAGCCAAAGAGGAGGATAGGGGCAGATGTGGCAGAAAGAGGGCAGGGAGAGAAATTGTTATTTGGAGCTCATGTTCTGCCCTAGATGTGGCCAGCTCTGTGGACATGGTTATGACAGATTCACAGAACAGTAAAAATTGAGAGGAGCCCCTTTGCTGGGCCGGGGGACAGCCCCTGCAGCCCCCAGCCCTCTGATGGGTATTGGGTTAAGAACCCTCCATGCATCATCTTCCCATGCTTAGTTACACAGGCAGCATGGTACATCCCCAAGGATGGGTTTCACCTCTCCTGGCTTTAGGTATCTATAGCATGACTGCCAAGGGTGATGGAGTCAATAAAACCGCTGGAGCTGAAGGATGTATTCATCCAACCAAGCACAGGCATCTGCTGCAGCATAACATGAGCTGTGCTCTATCTCAGCTATGCTGATTAACCCTTCACGAGCAAGGGGAAAACACTAAGGTGTCTAGCTCAGACAGGGACATTGCATTTGATTAGAGGTCAGTGCCATACTCAGAAACCAAAAATAAAGTAGACTAGAATGCAGTGAAGACCAATCCTGGCAAAACAATGACAGTGACAGTCACACCAACACATAGCTGAAGAATGTGGATAAAAATAAAACCTGTGGGAACAAAACAAATTCTGAAAGCACAATAACCATTGGTTAAATAGCACAATATTTACTGGTATTCCCATAGCATCCTAAAACCTTTAGCAGGGTTCAAAGTTTTGCTGTGCTAAGCATTGCACAACCACAATAAAAAGACCCTCCTGACCTCTTGAGATCATGTGCAGGAGCAGTAAGATCCACGTGTGGTCATCATCCATTTTCTGTGACTCTTTCTTTCCCCAACCATTCCCAAAAGTTTCTCAGCATTGCCCATTTCTCTCAAGGGATTGTGCTGGAACACAGTAACATGATTTGGGCAAACATTTGTGTTAAAACAACTTTGCCTCAGAAAAAGGCATATATTGTTGTTTGCAAACTTTCTGACATTGCAAGGCCAGGTTTGTACCACGACATTTCAGATTTCCTTTTAGATGATCTCAGGTTGTTTCTACATGTCTCAAGAACTTCAGACAAGACGACAAGATGTTAAAACAGATTTAATAAAAATATTATAATTATTCCCCAAGTATGTGGAGAAACTTCTGCATATATACAAGAACCAGAACATTTGGAAGAAAATAAGAAAGAAACATATTTACAGACCTCCTTTATATCTCTGTGAACACAGGAATGAATTTAAACATTACTACAGGCTCAAAGCAACTTGTGAAGGAAAGCAGAAAAATATTTTACACATTTTTTACTTTTTCTGTGTACTAGGTTTGAGTTCAGGTGTGTGTCAAGTACCCAGCTCCACGTATCTTCAAGAACTTTTATGTTCAGTCTTTAAAATAAAGTCTTTTAAAACATTTTTAATCCACATAGAAGATTCAGAATACACAAGGGTTTCTTTGCAGTTGCAAATGAAATCTTCAAAGAAAACCCAGGAGGCTTATTAAAGATGGAACTGGGAAAAAAATGAAGGGGAAAAAAAGTCCAAAAAAAGCCAAAAAACCTGAAAAAAACCCCTAAGCATGCACACAAGAAACAGTATTGGCTGCTGATTCACAGGGATGTGATGCTGTGAGATGTCCTAAGAGAAAAAAATGTCTGTAAAAACAGAAAAAAAAAAAAAAAGCAGAAATAACCAGATTTAAAGGAGCTTGCTTGACGTGGAGCTTCTCAAATACCTGTAAAAATTCATAGAGATTTGCTGAATTTAAGTGAGCCAGTTGTGTAAGTATCCAGAGAGTATATTACTTTTATTTAGCTAGAAGTATCTGTAATATATATATTCTTAAACCAGTTTACTTTCTGTAAAATGGAGGATGCACCTTTGAGAATTGTGCAATCAAAGGAAAGCATGGAAATTAAGTCAGAAATAGAAAAATGTGTCAACAGTTGCATCAGAGAGAAACAAATTAAACTGTTACTTTCAGTGCAGCATTTTATCCCTTTTTGAGCTATATTATATCCAAAAGAAAACAGCAAAGAAGACAATCAGGTCAATTTGAGACATGCCTTATTTTGAACCTTCTTTGTAGCATGTTTAACATAACCACATTTCACTGCGCTGCTAATAATAGTCCTATGGAAAGCAAGAGAAATCTAAAGCATGTGTGCATGTTTGCACTGGGTGAAAGGCACCTCAGACAAACCAAGTCTTCGTTTTTGTGACATGAAGCGACATTTAGACATTTAGACTCCTCCTTTGCCTACAGGGACAGAGTATTACTGAGTAATGAATAGGTATTTACATCATTAGCACTGAGGAGAAAAACTTACACGAAACTTGGACTTCACGGAGGAAAAGGCTGTTCAGACTGTTGGTTATGGCTCTCAGTAAGCAAATGATCAAATCATGAAAGTTGGTTCAATACAAACACTGATACTGTTTTGCTGGCTTTGAAGTATTTAAACTGCATGCTGGAAGGTGTTTGAGTATTCACATCTGAGCATCATGCCTAAATGAAACTGTTGCTATTTGCAGCACAACTAGCATTTGTACATAGAAATGCAAGAAGAGCAGGGGTGGTCTTCACTGCAGAGTCAAATTAACTTTGGAATGTTGTAAGTTGAATGTTGCCTTTATGTTAAGTCCTGCTGACACACAATAACCTCACGCAAGCATGCTGTAGAGCAGAGACAAGATAGGTAAGAGCTGCCAGCCTTCACACACCTTCCCATAAACTCCATGCATCAGAAAAGGATGAAATTCTGCCAGAATTCACAGTGAAGTGGTTTACAGAAAAACCTCCTGTATCTTTTCTGGTAATTGCAACCCAGACCAAAATGATTCCCACAGCTCTCTGCCCCAGCAGTCTGTTAAAAGCTCCTTTCTTTTTTATCTTATAGCAGAAGTAAAAACTTTCTCTTTTTGCCCCCCAAATCTGTGTGTTTGCACACATTAATAGGGGTTTGCATACTGCCAGATCACTCTGCAGCACAAGTTTAATCTTGATCACATGTGGGCATATGACTGCATTTCTGTCAAACCAGACAGGCCACATGATGGAGTTTTCCCTGTCGTTTTCTGTTAACACAAAGTTTATGTCAGCCAGGGGAGAGTGGATGACACCTGATCTCTCCTGAGGCCAAGCAGTATGAAGTTAACCCCTTGTATTACTCTGAATGGATCGAGAGGGCAGAAGGGGTGTGTGGCAGGTCAACATCCTGCAGCCTGGGGCTGTGCCATCCTGGATGCCACTAGGACAGCCCAAAAAGGAGGACTGAACGAGCCAACCAAGGCCTCACAGCAGGACACAATCCCAGATGTCAGCTTATGCTGGCAGTTTTAAAATGGATTTGCACTTGGCATCCTTGCTTGAGCCATGGCACACCAATCTGTGATGCTACTCTTTATTTCTTTACCTCACATGAGATCACCTCAGAGTTAAATAATTCAAAAAATGTTCTAAAATAGCTCTGCTTGTACACTGCCAATGTTCCACTGTATGGTACAAGGCACACGGGGTGCATTTGTCTCCCTGTATCAAGAAGAGAAGCTGAGATCCATCTCCTGGCCTTCTCTGACAGACTGCTACCATCTCGTGGCCATTCTTGTTCTCCCTGTTGGCAGCAGCACCCAACCTCTTAAAAAGCCAGTTCTGTTTCCC